CAGTGGTCGAGAACGCCTCTACCGTGTCTCCCATATTTCCCGCAACTCATCCCTCACACCCCATCCCCGCAATAACAACCAAAAAAGAATCCCCCTCATCCTCACGTACCACCCCACCAACCTCCGGATTCAACGCATCATCCTCCGACACTTCTGCCATTTGCAATCCGACCCCACCACCAAAGACATTTTTCCCTCCCCACCCTTATCTGCTTTCCAGAGGGACCACTCTCTCCGTGACTCCCTTGTCCACTCCACACACCCCTCCAGCCCCACCACACCCGGCACTTTTCCCTGCAACCGCAGGAAGTGCTACACCTGCCCCTAACCTCCCCCCTCACCCCCATCCCAGGCCCCAAGAAGACTTTCCACATCAAGCAGATGTTCACCTGCACATCTGCTAATGTGGTATACTGCATCCGCTGTACCCGTTGTGGCCTCCTCTACATCGGGGAACCAAGTGGAGGCTCGGGGACTGCTTTGCAGAACACTTACGCTCGGTTCGCAATAAACAACTGCACCTCCCAGTCGCGAACCATTTCAACTCCCCCTCCCATTCCTCAGACGACATGTCCATCCTGGGCCTCCTACAGTGCCACAACGATGCCACCCGAAGGTTGCAAGAACAGCAACTCATATTCCGCTTGGGAGCCCTGCAGCCCAATGGTATCAATGTGGATTTCACAAGATTCAAATCTCCCCTCCCCTTACTGCATTCCAAAACCAGCCCAGCTCGTCCCCGCCTCCCTAACCTGTTCTTCCTCCCACCTATCCCCTCCTCCCACCTCAAGCCGCACCCCCATTTCCTACCTACTAACCTCATCCCGCCCCCTTGACCTGTCCCGTCCTCCCTGGACTGACCTATCTCCTCCCTACCTCCCCACCTACACTCACCTTTACTGGCTCCATCCCCGCCTCTTCGACTTGTCTGTTTCCTCTCCACCTATCTTCTCCTCTATCCATCTTCTATCGGCCTCCCCATCTCTCCCTATTTATTTCAGAACCCCATTCCCCTCCCCCATTTCTGATGAAGGGTCTATGCCCGAAACGTCAGCCTTCCTGCTCCTATGATGCTGCTTGGCCTGCTGTGTTCATCCAGCTCTACACCTTGTTAAACAGATTTAGAGGATGGCTTGTAGGTTGATACCTAACTTGAAGAGCCAATTATTATCATGAGATTAGAGCAGAGTCTTTTTATTCTAGAATGGCATCGGCTTTGAAAAGATTTATGAAATGATGAAAATGTTAGATTTTTCTTGTAGGATATTTCAGTTAAATCAGTTGGCAAGGATTGGAGCAGGAGTATAAATTTGTATTAGTACAAAACCAGGCATTATGGCATACAGTTAAGGAATCTTGTACAATTTAGAAAAATTAAGGAAAAGGTGATGGCCTAGTGGTATTATCACTGGACTGTTAATCCAGAGACCCAGATAATGTTCTGGGGACCCGGGTTTGAATCCTGCTACGGCAGTTGGTGGAATTTGCATTCAATAAGTATCTGGCATTAAGGGTCTAATGATGACCATGAATCCATTGTTGATTGTCAGAAAAACCCATGTGGTTCACTAATGTCCATTAGGGAAGGAAACTGCTATCCTTACCTGGTCTGGCCTACATGTGACTCCAGACCCACAGCAATGTGGTTGACTCTTAACTGCCCTCTGGGCAATTAGGGATGGGCAATAAATGCTGCCTAGCCAGCGACGCTCTCATTCCATGAATGAATTAAAAAAAAAAAATTGATTGCAAGATTTCAAAACGAAACTGCATGATTTCCTAATGCTGTAAATCCTCATTATGTAATAAAGGGATGTGATATTAGGTCATGCATCTTTCAATCATTCTGATTTCCTGGAACTTGTTTGTTAATTATCAATTTTGGTACAGCTGGCATAACTGTTATGAGGGGCTACTCCCAAGCACCATATCTGACCTATAGTGGCGTATGAACAGTGAGATAAGGATAATGTGATATGAAATTAAGTGTTCAAGCATATCTCTCTAATTGAGCTAATTCAGCATAAATCAGTTGTTGTAACTGAGACATTTCTGGTTTAAAATTCAACTGTTCCCTGTTATATAATGCTGGAGCATAGATAAATTATGCTTTTAACTGAATGTATTGATTACATGAATCATAGATGATTGATTCTCCTACTGTGATCCTTTATATTACAGCGTCTAAGTTGTGGTAATGTTTCACCAACTGTTAAAATACATTGACTTATTAATCTTGCCATGTGAGGCACGGGTGAAGTCAAACTTTTCCCATGTTACCTCATTAGCTGTGCGTTCAGTTTCTCTGAACTGATTGATGCTGAAAGAACAGAAGATTAATCCTTCTGGAATAATGTTTGTCATTTATCCTTCTCTGATTTCTTTTATAGAAAGAATTGTAGAAGATCATGAATCAGTGACTCAGTTCCAATCAACCTGGGGGATGGACAGTGACAGCAGACTATATTTCAGAAAAAATTATGCAAAATATGAATTCTTTAAAAGCCCTTCAGTAAGTGAAATTGCAAGAAAATTTAACCAATGTCACGTTATTCAGATTTTTATCAATGCTGATATGGTTTGTTTTGCTGTGAAGTGTATTTGAAAGGAAAACAGGAGCTTCCATTAATGGGTTGAAGGAGATGATTGTGTATGTCATCATGTAATATTGTGCATGTCAAAAAATTGTCTTTTGTTAAACCTTCCTAACCTGTTGCAAAAAAATCGAAAAGATGTTGGCCAGCAATTACAATTGTAGCACTTTGGAGTACAGATTTACTTTAGTGGTGAATATGGAGCAAAAATGGTTAGGAAGAATCATGCTGTGTGCTCAGTCAAAGTTACCTTTTTGTGTAACTCAATGGCTGAGTATTGTCACAAGGGTGGATCTGGTCTGCAACTGAGATTTCCACTGTATGGTCTGCCCACTGACCCGTCAAACCAGTATCTGAAAGGAAAAAGAGGTTGAACTTCTCTTAAGAAGGGTCCAGACCCAAAACGTCAGCTTTCCTGCTCCTTTGATGCTGCCTGGCCTGTGTTCATCCAGTTCCACACCTTGTTATCTCAGACTCCAGCATCGGCAGTTCCTACTATCTCTGAAAGGAAAAGCTGCTCTAATGTCACTTAACGAGTTTAAACATAAACTCACTTTTGTTTGTCACACATTGTTAAAAGCTGCTGTCATATTTTATGATCTTTTTAAAACTAGTCAGCCTTTATAAATTCACAAGTTTCATCCGTTTTATTATAGCTCTTTAAACTGAGCCTAGATTTTCCAATTTTTAAATCCGCCAAAACCCAGCATTTTAGTTTGAGTCTTACATGACATCAAGTGCAGAAATGGAAACATCTGACTTGTATATGGAATGTCTACATTTTATTGTGAAAAATGTAGATGTACTGTACTGCAGTAACAGTTTGCACCACTTGAAGGCAAGAAGGAAACTTTTCAGCATAGATTTTCCTTTTCAAATGCACCCCAAGGAATGCAGGAAAATGACCACAAATTACAGGGCAATCAGGCAGAGAGGCCCATAATACTATGTTCTGACCTCAACCTCGTTTTTCTCTCTGCCTTTCAAAACTTGCCACAGGTAAGCCATCAAGTTTGCCTGAATTTTTTCCTTATCAGTGTTGCCATCAGGGAATCGCAGCATGGTCATAGTATAGGAAGTGATAATGGAAGACTTGCTGATGCACCACTTGAGCAAAGTTTTAAAACTTCTTTGTATCATCAGTGAAAATTTCTTACAGCGTCAGATTTTGGGAAAAGTATTGAAGCTAAAAATTAGTGTTTTTTTTACTGCAAATGTCATAATAATGTATAATGCTTAATAATAATGTATCTGCTGTTGAATACCCTATAACATTTTGACCTTTTTATCTTGAGCAGTATTTTCCAGAGCACATGGTGTCTAGTTGCAGTGAGACAAATGGAAGTTTAAGTCATTCTCAGTTAATACAGGTGCGACAATTCATCTGTAAGCTATGTTTCTAAAATTAAGAGGATTGAAAGTGTCTGTTATATTTTAAGAATGTATACACTCTAGTTCTTCAGTAAATAACAAAGCATACTGGTGCTAATTATCTGCCTCGTTGCTGGCACCTAGACACCAGGAAGACCGACCAAACCCAAAGTACGTTCTGTCTGATTTTATGTGAACCTGCTTACTTGCCAAGAATCAGCATTTCAGTGCTGATCATTATTCTGACAAAGAAAAATTGCTTATCAGTGGATCTTGCTGCCTTATCTTCAGTTCTTGGAGAGAAGTTACATTTCAGTCTGTTTCTTAAAATGGCCAATTGGAGTGGATAAGAGGTTGAAAGGCCGGTTACATCTACTTTACCTCCGTGGTGTGCCAACCCTGTATTGTCCCTGTTTTTAATCTTGATAACAATGGAATTTGACCTCCTAGCACTTACTGACGAAGCTTTAAGGAGATACTTGAAGAGAAAAAAAAAAAGTTATCTTTGCTGTCCAGGATGGCCACAGAGTAATAGGCCATACGGTTGAAGCAAAATTAACTGTCATCCAGTAGGTCAGATGATGAATGGCTAAGCTCAGCTATGCATCAGGTTCTCAAATTTGTGATCTTTGAACTGAGGGAGTGAAGATGGAAGTCATATGAGAGTGAAAGGAGATTCTGTAAAAAATTGAGAGGGAGAACCAAAAAATAATTGGCACATTGGAAGATCAAATTATACGCGACTTGGCATGAAAGCATAGGGAAGTGAGTTTGACAGATACATAGGAAAATAGTTGGAGATGACCTCAAATAAATAAGATCATAGGAGTAAAAGGCATGTGGCATAGTAAAGTTGAGAACAAGGTATAACTGAGAAGATGGTAGTAGTTCACGTGGGCTTGTGTAGAGGAGAAAAATTACTAGAGGGAAGAAGAGTGAAAGACTGCAATACTGGGATTTTTGAGGCCTATTAGAGAACATGGGAAAGGGAGAGACTTGGGGGTGGGGATATTGGAAGGAGTTAGGTGGCTATAATAGGCTTGGGTTTGACTTGGAAGCCAAAATGTTCATACAAATGAGCAGATGAAATTCCAGTGGGTCAGGCATGACAGAGAATCAGGGATGTCTCGGTTGTGAACAGAGAACAGAGTTGAACTAATATGAAAGTGAAAATAAATTTTGAGGGCCAGTGAATTGTCTTGGAGCATCCAAAAACTAACGTCCAGGCAAAGGTAACTCCAAGCAAATTTCTGTCCAGGCCCAACACAGTTTAGTCAACTTCATGACATGTACACTAATGTTGTTTTACTTATTTCCTCTCCTGACTTTCAATACTAAATGTAAAATTTTGAAATTTCTATTTAGAATTTCTTGAATTCAAGCACGTATCCTGAGGTTCATGGTTACCTTCATGCTAGAGAACAAGGAAAAAAGATGTGGAAGAAATGTTACTTTGTCTTGAGAAGATCTGGGTTATACTTTTCGACAAAGGGAACATCTAAGGTAAAGTGTTATCGTTAAACTAATGATGCGGAGGTGCCAGTGTTGGACTGGGGTGGACAAGGTCAGAAATCACACGACACCAAGTTATAATTCAACAGGTTCATATAAGCTTTTGGAGCCTTGCTCCTTCTTCAGGTGTTAGTGTTACCTGAAGAAGGAGCGAGGCTTCGAAAGCTTGTGCTTTCTAATAAACTTGTTGGGCTATAACCTGGTGTTGTCTGATTTCTGCTGTTGAACTAATAGCAGATTAAAAAGAAAAAAAGAATCTATGATTAATTTTTATTAGTCACAACTTGGACACCATGTTTGGTGTATTTTTAAAGAAGGTATTAGACTGCCGTAACTACAGGGAAATTTTGAATTTATTAGTTGACAATTGTGTTGAACTTAAGCTCATGCACATTTATATTGAAATAAATGTTACTGTAGAAGCACATTTAGATAAGTGTTAACAATAATTTTGCTATAATAATAGTAAGCATGCCCAACTTTCGTTTCTATTTGTTCTTTTTATCCCCTTCTTTCCAACTTCATTATTATAACACACTTTATTTCTAATTGTCTATTTGCATTTTAAGAAAATCTGCTTTTCCTTTATATCTGATATTTGTGTATACATTTTAAAAATTTAATTTTTGACTGTTTTGATTTCTGTGTGGCTTATTTCCAGTTTTAAAAAATACTGTCGTTGGCTCCAAGACCTTATCTGTTGACTTTTCATGGCTCTGGAATGTAAATATTTAACGTTTTCATGTCAGAAAGGAAATGAGGTCAAATTTTTAAATGTAATTTTCAAGCATTAGGGAATTGCTAGAGTTAATAGAGGTGTACAAATGATGACCAGTTTAGATAATGTAGACAAAAAAAAGACTTCCCATTGGCAGATACTATGGGGAGAAACAGATACAGATCTTTTGGTAAGTCACAAGATGTGAGGAAAAATTCTCTCATGCAGCAAGTGCGAAATAACTATACAGAAGCTGGTATCCCACCAAGTGACCCTTTATTTTCATGTGCACAGTACTTCGGCGGCGGCGGCGGCGGCGGCGGGCGGGCGGGCGGCCGGCCAGCCAGCCAGCCAGCTCAGGGTCAGTCCCTGGAGTAAGGAGATTCTGAATCCCCTGTTTATATCTGTCGCCCAGGGCTCCCTGATTGGCCCAGGATAACAACCACAATCAAGGAGCTCATGAGATCCACCTGGTTCCAGTGACTTAGAATTCACTGTCCACAAAGTTGGAACCTGAGATGATGAGTGATTTTAAAGAAAAAGGATGGGCACTTGCTCAAGCTTCAGGGATTCAAAATTAGAGTGGGCTGTTGGGACTGACTGACTGCTGTACAGAAAGCTGACGTGGACTCAGCGGGCCAGATGATGGCCTGCTGTGCCATAGTGACCATGTGGCCGGATTTTTCTGGGTAGGCCCAATGTCCCATTACTGGAACAGAAAAAGGCCACTGCTGGTAGTTGTAACTCAGTCTTCCCCAGTGAAGCAATAGAGAATTAGTGGCTGTGGTGCTGGATAAGGCTGATGGAGTGTACTGACACCATGGTTAAAGAGCTGTGCCCACTCTAATCGAGTTGCTGCCTGAAGCCTACACTGGAGTTCTGTTCCGCTCTACCAGCATGAGGAGGTCTGTTGGTGATCACAGCATGGGTTTTGAAGGCTGGAAGGAAGAGGCGCTTCTTGCCTTGGCAGAGAAAGATCCCAGTTCACTCCATAATTCAGTGGTGATTCCCTGCAAGCTGTCCACCGGCTTCTTTGGAAAAGGTGAGAAGACGTCTTCCTCAGATGGCGAAGGTGGAGACCGCTGCTTAACCAAGTAAGCTTGGACAGAAGTCAGAAAGAATTGTTTTCCAGGAGACATGGCTACAGTGCCCTAAGCATGTGAATGACGCTTGATCTGCCAAGGTGAGTACCTCATCCCTAAACCTTTTGAGTTTAGAAATGGCAACATGTGAGGGTGTGGTTGCTGGGTGAGGGAAAATGCCAATCGATCAGTCACAATGTAGTCAGGCTGCAAGACCTTCTGTAAGAGCAATGTGTGGATTTCTGTCACCGGGCACTTGTTTGCCAAACTTGTCCTTTGCAAAATCACTTCAGATTGGTGACATTTGAGTAACCACCAAACCCCTGCCCAGTCCACCACCAACCCTGCCCCCATCCAAAGATGCTCAGAGTTCATATTGCCAGTGCAATGGCCCAGACCAATTTTAAGTATCATTTGATGCCATTTTCACACTCCTGGAAGGGGAGGTTTTGGAATTGGCAGGACAGCTATTCCATTGTGGATGGTGAGGCAAGCATGTGGGTGAAAGAGGGTGAGTACCCTTTTGAAAAAGGCACAGAGAGCCTTGTTGAGCACAGGGGTTTGTGCTGCTGTATCCTCTGCGGTACATGAATTGATCCGAACATCATCTGATTCTGAAGGTATGTCTTTGAAAGTCTAAAACCCTTTAATCTTTCTTTCTGTTCTCTCTTTCACAGGTCAGCCACAAAACCAGAGAATTGTTGACTTTTCGGGGGCAGTAGTACACTTGTGAAGCAATGTGAACATCAAAGAATACACCATCACATCATTGCTGGCATCCATCATTAGTGCAAATACTCCTGCACAGTGGGTATCAGCCATGATTGAATGGCGGAGCAGACTCGATGGGTTGAATGGCCTGTATTCTGCTCCTATGTCTTATGGTCCTGTGGTATCAATTCACACTTCAATTTGGGGTCACAAATTGGTGAGAACATTGCGTACATGCATAAGCAGCTGTCATTGGCAATGGAGGTTACTGACATACAGAAGGCTGAGAGAGAGTAGTCCCTTGCTGGCTGACTGACACCTCCCCACCACCCGCAAGCCTAGACTGATGATATAACTCTGGGAGCCAAGATTAAGCTGACATGTACTGGATGTACAGCATGAGGTGCGTAAAGACTTGATGGAAATTCCAGAGGCCTTATTCTGCTGGCTCATGTCATGGAGGAGTCTAATCAGGCCATGAATGCTGCTTTTTTCCTTCTGTCTGCACACACGGCCTCCTTCATCAAGTGACTGGCAGTTCTTCTGCAGAATGGGATCCAATGGACCAGTGTGCACTGATATGCACTCCATTGCCTTATCCATGAGTTCTATGTAGTAGTGGCTGGGCAAGAGGAAGATGAGGCAGCATTCCCAGCTCTGATCTACTCTCGTAATCACAATATTTACACATGACTGGGCCAGTTAAGACTTGGTTCAATGGAAAACCCCAGGATGTTGATGGTGGGGAATTTGCCTTTGTGCTGAATGTTGAGGAAAGCTGGTTGGAGATAGAGATGACTTGGCATCTGTGCACCTGAATGTTACTTGCCTCTTACCATCCCAATCCAGATTGTTGTACAGGTCTTGTTTTACTTCTTATTACTGCTGTGAGCACGCTCATACTGTAAAATGTGCTATTTTGTTTTAGAAAAAGGAAAGTCCAGCCCTTTAAATAAAACAGATCAGTGTTTTGTTAATTAATTTCCCAGGGATCGGAGGATTTCCTGACTAATACTTTGCATCACAAAATCTCTTGTTTTCCATTTTATGATGTTTCAAATTCTCAAGGATTTAATAAATAAACAGTTCAGAATAATATACTGGGTTGATATTAGTCAGTTTAAAAAAAATGATATGGGTTTTAATTAATACAGATCGAGATGATTTGGGTGTAACTGAAAGAACCAGAAAAATTCATTCCCTCTATGGATCTGGAATTAGAGTCCAGCAATAGCTCAAAAAACAAAGTCCAAACTGAGGAGAGCCTTTTGTATGCCAAATAGAGCCAGCCACTTGGAGTGTAAAAGTTGGTGCATAAATACAGGTTCTGGCATGACCCAAGATTATATCAGTTATTCCCACTCCCGTGTGAAACAAAACCATTTTGTTTCAAAACTGCTAATATGCATGGCTTTGCTGGGTGCTGCTTGTTCTATGTTCATTTGAGATTATCTAAGGAGAACATATCATGGTCATGAAACATTGAAGTTATTGCTTGTAAAAGCTGAAATATTTTGATAATTTCAATATAGCACCACCTGTTTGTGCAATAAATAGCTTCACTATGTATAACTTATAAGCCTTGCAGCCGTTTAATTTTCAAGTTCTTCTTAGAACTAGCCACGTGCTTCCTATGTCCATTTTAATAAGCTGTATTAAATTGTACCTCTATTTCAAATGATTAAAACATAGTCTATTTCCTAATGAATAGACTTTATTAATTTGATTTATCAGTGAGGTTTTTAGTGTTGCCTTGTTTTGTCGATCCGCAGAATTTGGAAATATTGAGCATCAAGTCATTCAAAATCCTTAAAGGCCTTTTCCAACTTCACCCTTAGCTATTTGAATAATAGTGCCTTGGATTTTTGTTTAGCCATGAAGTGATGGCTTACGTTGCTGACCTTCTGATCTCTGGAGTGGATTTCCCCATTTTGAAGAAGGGTCACCATTCTGAGGAAGGATCACCGGACCCAGAACGTTAATTCTGATACATTTCTTCACAGATGTTGCCAGACCTGCTGAGCTTTTCCAGCAACTTCTGTTTTTGTTCCTGATTGATGGCATCTGCAGTCCTTTCAGATTTCCCCTTTTTGATGTTGGTTTGAATCTGGATCCAAACAGGGGGGAGGTAATGGCCTAGTGGTATTATCACTGGATTGTTAATCCAGAGACCCAGGTAATGTTCTGGGGACCTGGGTTTGAATCCTGCCATGGCAAATGGTGGAATTCGAATTCAATAAATATCTAATGATTACCATGAATCCATTGACGAATGTGGGGATTGGGGGGACTGGGGGGGAACCCATCTGGTTCACTAGTGCACTTTAGGGAAGGAAACTGCCATCCTTACCTGGTCTGGCCTACATGTGACTCCAGACTGACAGCAATGTGGTTGACTCTTAACTGCCCTCTGGCCAATTAGGGATGGGCAATAAACACTGCCTGGTCAGTGATGCCCTCAACCCCTGAATGAATAAAGG